TAGCGATCTGAAGTACACAAAATCGACAGTGGCCTATGTGATTAAGAAGTGGAAGGTGAGCGGTGATTGTCGGAATGTGCCCCGAGTCGGCAAACCAACGAAACTGGGAGATAGAGACCGACGAGTGCTGTCCAGAGAAATTCGGAAGAACCGCACCAAACCGATTGGCCCTCATCCGCGAGGAGTTTCAACAGGCATCCGGGAGTATTGTTTCAATAAATACCATCCGTAAGGAAGCACATCTGGCTAGGTTTTCATGGTCGTGCTGCTGCCCATATGCCTTTGATCACAAAGTCCAACCGCGCTGCTCGGTTAATGTGGTGCAAAGCACATCGAAATTGGACCGTAGATCAGTGGAAACGGGTTCTTTGGAGTTACGAATCAAGGTTCACCCTTTACCGTTCGGATGACAGGGTCTGGGTTTGGCGTCTACCTAGAGAACGTCTCCTGCCAGAATGCATTGTGCCAACAGTCAAGTTCGGCGGAGCGGCCGAGCGGTAAAGACGCTGAACACTGGTAGTTCGGTCTGAGGTTCGAATCCCGCGAACGGGCTGGCTGCATGGGCGTTTTCGTGGTTTTCCCCATGTGTAACGTGTATACGAGCCAGTTTCCCTTAGAAAGTCCTCCACGAAAGGCATCCCTCCCTTTAGGCAGATAGCCCTCGTGTGCTTTGCCATAATTAAATACACCACACACCACCAAGTTCGGCGGAGGTGGAATTATGGTGTGGGAGTGTTTCTCCTGGTATGGGCTGGGACCCTTGGTCCCCATTCATGGTAAGCTCAACTCCGATGCCTACTGCACTATTTTGGATGACAATGTGCTTCCTACGTTATGGCAGTTTTACGGGTTGGACCTCTGTTACTTTCAGCACGACAATGCCAGTTGTCAGGTTTCGACGTTAACCAAAGCTTGGTATGGTGCCAGTGGAGTTCATCGAATGGACTGGCCTTCCCAGAGTCCAAACCTGAACCCTATCGAGAACCTCTGGGACGAGATGCATCGCCGAATTCAGGGGTGCACTACCCGTGCAAAATCGGTGAAGGAACTTCTATGTCTTCTCCAAGCCGAGTGGAAGAAAATACCACTAGCTGTCATACAAAGACTTGTGGAAAGTACGCCCTGAAGGGTCCACGCTGTAATTACCTCTTGTGGAGGCTCTACCAACTATTGATTTTGAATAAAGTTAGTTTTTATTTTCTATCACAGGTGTCTAAATACTTATTGGTAGTCAGTGTATATTTATTTATCTGGCGCAACAATAACCAAGAAGGAAAACCGGTAGTTTGACCCGGGGTGCAAACCTTGGGAAACCTGGAGAAGCTGCATGGGTGTGTTGCGTTCTATTCGTTCGTGGATTTGAAGTAATTGACGATAACACTTTATGAAGAATCAAAAGACAGATTTATTCGACAGTTTTACGCAAGAGAGTCCGAAAGACACGTTTACATTCGTCAAAAAACTACAATAAACACGCTGAAACAACCAGCAACCAGGAAGAAAAAGAGGCTTTAAACAGTTGGCCATACTTCGATTTTATGAATAATGTTTCTTAAAAAACTAATATAACCTTATCAATATGCATATAAATGACATTTTAAATATTGCATAACTTTTATAGCATAGTTTAAATATTTCGTAAAACATTACTGTCTCTGTACACCTTGAGGTAAAATAATAATTAATATAATATATTACAAGCAGTTGCATTGTATAATATTGTAAGCAACTGCAAAATCTTAAAGTACACTGCGCAAAAAAAAAAAAGAAGGGGGCACAGTTCTGTACCTCCCGTTCTACTGGGCCGATTGACGAAATTCAAATTGTGTTTTTCATGTCTCAAAACGCGACTTACGATATATATTAGATTTATATACAGCATTATTCTAACATAGGTATTTTGACACAAAATCGGAACTTTCTCTGAAATAACATACCAATTTTTTTGCCATGTTTCGATTCTACGATTCAAATTATGCCTAAATATTAAATTCTATAAATTTTGGTGCGAAATTTATGGAAAAATTAAAAAATTTATCTTGGCGCGTTTTTTTTCAGTTTGCGCCAAGTATAATTTACTTGGCGAACTTCTTAATGTATGCCAGCCTATTTTTCTTTCTCTTCTATTGTACAGGAGCGGAAAAAAAGTCACATCGTTTCTACCTTTTTACATTGTTTGTGCATGAGCGGAAAAAAGTCACGTCGTTCCTACTTTCAAATAATTTTAACAAAGTGCCTAAACCAAACGGATGTTATTATCGCTTTCAACAAATACACCGAATTTCAAAACGCGCCAATATAAAAATTCACGTGTATCTTCGGAAATTTTGAATAAAAAACTATAATTTTTTCTCAGGTATGCTAAGAAATACTTTTACTTTAAGATGATGGTAAAAATTTTATAGGTTATAATTCAAAATTTTTTTTCGAAAAATTTATAAAAATTATTTAAAAAATACAAATTTAAAAAATAAATCATAAAAAAACGGGCAAATTTTATTTGGAATAAACCTAATTTCGAATGTGAAAGGAAGAATCAAATAAGTTTAATAAAAGAAAAAAGAGGATAATAAGGTTTATTTGTTATTGGAAACGAAGAGAAATATATATAATATATATATATATACAAACCTGGCTTCGTCAATGCAAAGTAAGTTTCAGTTAGGAGTTTATGATTGTCGTAGGATTCTATTGCAATAAGAAATTAAAAGAGGCAACAAACTCTTACAATGGGCAACTAAGAAGGTTGGAAAAAATGTTCAAATCAGCTTAATACACTATGAAAAGAAAGTTTTATGTCCGATATTTACAGAAGGAATCCCATTCCTTTGTCGTAGTGACTTTCAAAGAGTGAAACTTTATCAACACAAAGCAACAACTCATATGAGAAAAATACCACTGCATTCCTTGAAAAAAATGAAGACTGATACAAGTATTGTATATATATCTTTTCTACATATTTCTGCGAATTACCCTGACATTTCATCTATGGACTATTGTGCCTTTCGTTCTTTGAAAAGTGCCTTGAAACCCACCTCGATTGATGGAATCGAGGAGAGAAATATTCAATATCCCTCGAAATTTTATAGAAAGCTCTTCTGTCATGAAAATCACGATGCAGACAATCATTCTTTTAGTTTAATTCATTTGCAGTGGTTCTTTTCGTAATATGAGTTGTTTCTTTGTCTTGATGAAGTTTCACTCTTTGAAAGTCAAAGGACAAAGAAATGGGACTTCTTTTGTAAATATCGGACATAAAACTTTCTCTTGATATTATGTTATTTGATTTGAACATTTTTTCTCACCCTTCTTAGTTGCCCATTGTAAGAGTTTTTGGTCTCTTTTAGTTTCCCATTGTAAGAGAATTAATCTAAGAAAAAGCTATCAGATCTAACATTTAAAAGAGTAGTCTTTACATCTCAAACATTAATTCCACATTCTCGAAATCGCTCTCAAAATGTGTAAATTCTCTCTGTAACATTTTAATTAATTCAATATGACAAATCTCTGCTTGGATTTTGCGAGCTCTAAGCCTGCTTTCTTTGTTTTGTCATTGAGGAAGAATTTTCTTCTTGCTAATCTTTCATTGTATCTATGCACTCTAATGATACTTCAAGTTTTCTGGTTAATTTGTATTGTAAACTCTTCTTCTAAATCCGCTGCAATTATTACATCTTTATAAATTTTTCGGTCTTTTCTGATTTTTCGTAGGATAAATCCCCGATCCCTTGGTGATAGCCTAAAAAGTACTCTACTATTAAGTGCATTTTCAGCAATTTTAATCGTTTTATAACATCAAAGGTAATTGAACGCTTTAAACATCAAAGATTTCTGGGATATTTAGGATACTTTAGCCTACTTTAAAACGATGAATAATTAAATTTCTAACATAAATTGTCGTTATTTTATAAGTTTTGACATGTTCACATAAGATATGTAGCTGTTAATACATTTTGCTAAACAAGTAATAACTTCTAAATGCAGACGATAATTATTGTCAAGACTCAATATAAGCACATGCTTAGAGCATCAAGGAAAGGGGCACCACAAAAAGTTCCTTAGGTATTCATCAGAAAAGGGGATCTACTGCCACTTATACTATAGAATGCAACTGAGAGAGAGAGAGAGAGAGAGAAAGAAAGAATGAAGAAAATGCTGTGGGAGCACCAAAATCTTTTAAGTGCTAAGTGTCTCTAAGGTCTCAATTTGGCCGTGATTTCTGTCATGTATTTTTATTAAAAAAATAATAATAAAAAGCATCAGCTACAAAATATCTAAAAAAAATTTCGAACGTCCGAGTTATTATATGAGTTACTAATTAGGCACATTTTGAAGAAATTATTCTATTGCAGGAAATACTTATGATATTTATTTTGCAACAAGTAAAACTTAAAGTAGACAAAAAATGATACATTAGATAAAAAAAAAAAAAAAAAAAGAAATCTTTGTTTCAATATTGAGTACAAGATAAGATATTTAGCAAAAATCAAATAAATTTGTAGTCATTAGTACGTTTTTGAATGCAGGAAACACGAAAAATGAGCAATGCCTTCGCCAGGACTCGGACCTGGACCTCTCGAATACGCGCCGAGTGTGCTACCATTACACCACGAAGGCATGAAAAAAAGGAGAGAGAAAATGCCTTATACATTTTAAAAATCATAAAAATTGCCCAAAAACAAATGTAAGCCGTTGTATGTACTTCATTTACTGATTTCATTTGTATCTTCTTATGAAATGATACATATTTTTTAAAACTATATTCTTAAATTTGTTTCTTAATAAATGCAGACTTCAAATTGTACTTGAACAAACGACTTTTAAAAATTAAACAATTATTTAAAAAATTTTTTTCTTGAAAAAATTTTATATGAAGTATTCAAGAGATTCGAGAAGCTCTTAGGATTCGAGTCCGCTTCGAGAAATTTTTGGAACTGGTTACTCCTGTTTGATATCTTGCAACATTACTGTAATAATACTCAGGTTATTTCTAATTTCAGTGGACGTGTGCGGTACTAACTTTATCTGTGATCGTTGGGGTTGCCTTAACCAAGAAGAAAAATTCCTCTCCCAGCCCTAGCACTGGCTCTAGTAGTTCCAGCAGCAGTAGCAGCACCACTACACGAAAACCTCCAATTACCGTTATCGATGACCTCGACGACCTGCTAGTGCAGGCGACAGGCTGGAATGGAGGTGGGGGAGGAGGAGGAGGAGGTGGCGGATGGCCAAGCGGAAATGGTGGCTCTAAAGCTGGTAATGGTAACGGTAAGGCGATGATTTAAACTATTTTTATATAAATCCAATAATAATTACATACAGTAAGACCCCGCTTAACGCGGGGGATACGTTCCATCAAAGTAGAGCGTAATGCGAAACGCGCTAAACGAGGCTATCTTTACATGTAAATATTGGGGTTAGGGAAAGATGGCTAGGAAATTGGTTAGGTATTAAATTTAAAAAGCATGTTTTTTTAATAAAAATAAAACCAAACATTTATTTCCTAAAGCCCAAATTAATACCACATTATTATTTCTTGCAAAAATAAAAACAAAATATAAATAACAAAACGAATATTCTTAAAAAAAACAAATAAAATTCGAAGTCAGTCATATTTAGTTAGCCTTCCGCGTTTTCAGTGTTCTGCCTTTTTGTGACAAAAGCATCTAATGTTGTTTGCCTTTTTCTTTTGCGTTGTTCTCTTAAAAGTTCTTCATAAACGGATAGGAGCATCTCTAACACCACGCCTTACTTTTGAGCTCCTGTCAAAATTCGGATCATTTTCAATGAATTGATCCATTATTTCAGTTATGGTAGACAAACTCCTTTTTACAAACGCCATCGAAAGTTCTTTTTGCTCTTCTTCTGAATCACTGCTGTCAACGTTTTTGTTTTCTTCTTGTTCATTAGAAAGACTAGCCGCTGCTTCTTGAATTATTTCTTCGACATCTTCCACATTTACCCCTTCAAAATATGTCTGTACAATACCGCACCAAACAAGAAATACAAGTACACTCTTTCGGATATGTATTTGAAACCTATCGCTGCATAATACTTCGGGGAATCCCCGTATGCTGCGAGCGATTTCGTGGAATCCCCGGGTTGAAATAAAAGAGCGCTAAACCGAAACAGCGCTAAACGAAACAGCGTTAAGCGGGGTCTTACGGTACATGCATATTAATTAAAAATAAAATGTTTGGAAATTTGCTTCAATTATTTGTCCTTTTTGCAAATGAGGAAATAGTGACACATCTTCAATTTGGTGCACAATTCTTATCTCATACACATGAGAATTTTCCAGGGGACATACGATATACCCAGAGGCAGTGCTTAAATTGTGATGGAGCCCATTCCAGTTATTCCCGATTTTTGAGGTAAATTGTAACGTTAGTCAGAGCGCAGCGGCGCTTTTTATTTCCTTATACCAAGTTGCTGTTTTGCCAAGTAAAAAAAAGTATTGTAATCGCGAAAAATTTCGGATATCACATTTCAACGAAAATATCCTTTTTGATCTCTCTCGAATGCATTTATTTGAGCGTTGCTTTTGCCTGACAACTGTAAGTATGGACAGAATAAACGACTCTTTTTCTCAAAACAGATTGTAAAATAGATTTAAAATGGATTCACAAGAGATTTTTTCGTGACGTTTGCACGTATGTACGCATGTATATATCTCGCATAACCTGAGAGCAGCCTGAGAACGTTGAAATTTTGTGTAAGGGACTTCGATAACATGTAGTTCTGTGCCTCACTTTTTGGTTGCAATCGACCGCACCAAAAGAACATATCTATCTATCTATCTATCTATCTACATATATATATAGCGTATACCCATTCTATTACCCGGCTCGATGAGCTCAGTATTTTTATTCTTATATGTCGATAAACTGTGCATTTTTTGCTTTAAAAGTGATTGACTTATTCTGTTCTTATGACCCGGTTAAAGTTTGTATGCCTTTAGTTAATCTGCATGCAATAGTTGTAGAATTATAAAGAATTTAAATGTTGTTAAAGTGCTGCTAAGTCTAACGAAGCCTACATTTATTTACATTTGAAGCGCTTAGTAGAATAGCGAATTAAATCCGTTTCTGCAGCAACTTCAGTGTCTTTTTGCCGAGTGGGACCACAAGTAAACTTTCAGTTTTGTGCACCGAAAAAACTGTCTTTCTGCCCGCTGACCGAATTGCTTCTTTTCTCGCAGAAACTCTATTTTTAATCATAAAAAGAATTTTAACTGTTTTTAACTGTATTTGGTGTTTTATGTTTTTCTGTGTTTTACAATACTGATGAAGAGGTTTGAGTTTTGGTGTATTTTTGCTTTTTCGCGAAGTGGGAACTGAATGAATTGAATACGTTTAAATGAAATGCAGCAAAAAATGTGTATAATTTAATGAGCCGTACAAGGAAGTCATGTGGTGTCCGCATCAGACTTTTATATGTAACCGAACCGCAATTTCATCAGAAAATGTTTCCCTTCTCGGAAATTTTATTTTAATATTATGCAAGCTTAACAATCGATTCTAACTTCTGAATGCGTGCATATCTTTCCCACGGAAACAAACTTTGGTTGGGTATTGATACATTTAAGGAAACAAAAGCTCCCACCCACATGCCAAAGGCTTATTATTCAGGAAAAGCAAAGCAATGAATTTATGACCGCGGGTAAATTTTTCATTCCCGAAAGTACTAGAATTGATTACCGCGGTAGTCACTTCAAAAGCTTGTGACTTCCCACTGAAAGACACACTTTTTGACACGACGTAGCCAAATATGAGGATGAAAATAGCCATTTGCGTACAACCTTGTGCTTGTTATCAGCTAATCCTTGGATCCGGCAGAATATCTCCTCCCCAGTAACATTTTGCTTAATTAGAATTATATCAGCAGAGAAGTCGTGATCAGAAAGTTTTGATTTTTTCTTTGTTTTCATACCTATATATCCTTTGCGAAAAATGTCCTTCAAATCCTATTGGATTTTCTTCATTCTCATCAGTGATGATTTACAAACCATTTTACATTTTTTTCTTAGTCTGCTGAAAACAAATGGCCCTTGTTTCCATCATCCTTGAAATAGTACATTTTATTGTATATTCAGGGTTTGTATTCAGCCTGAGCCTGGTTTCGCTGTTTCTTAGATTTAGTGAAACTGTAACTTTAGAGCTCCAAACAAGGCGAGATCCAGTATTTTATTTTATGATTGAACTCTGCTTACTATTAACTTAATAACTAATTAAATTTTTATTTATCTCATAATCAGGCTAAACAACATCATTTTATCCTAAGCCGAAAAAATCTTTTTGCTTCTGAAGAAGAGGGACCTGCGTCTGTTCGCCCTTGAAATCGATACAGTTTGATTCAAAAAACGATGGCAAAATAAGATTGTTGTTTTGTCTAATTTTGAGTTTTAGACTGGCATGCTTCTTTTCCAGTTTTTTTACTTACCTCTTTACATTTTATTGAATTTTAATTTTAATTATTAATTATTTCACTATTTTTTTAAATAATTTTATTTATTTATTCTTATTCCCTTTCTTGACGGCTACGACACTTCTAATTTGAGAAACTAATCCCTATCTAGAGGCAAGCTAAGTATTGTGAAACCACAGGCAAACGATAAAAACTAGATGTATTTTAAAGCAAGCTCATTTTCACGACCATAGTTACTGTCTTATAATCTATAACATTTCATAATATTTTTACGTTTTTTTTTTTTTAATTTTTTATTTTCTTCTTCTGACACCAGTTGTTAAGTTATTTTCTTCTTTCACGTTGGTACGGAGTTCGTAGATTTGGAGTGAATAACGACGTAGACGTTCGTAGATAACGACGACACTTGATGAAGTATCGAAACACACTTTATTAGCCAGTATTATCAGGACAGCTCCAAAACACGTTTTACAGTCGTCGATGAACTACTATAAATCGCTGACACGATCAGCGACACAGCCTTTAGGTTATCTAGCTATAAGCCTTAGGTTAGCCTTAGGTTATCTAGTTATAACGGTGGAGACAGCTTCCTGCAAAGCACCCGACTCTACTTTCCGGAGTACAGCTCTCGACTCTGCTTGATCGTTCTTGGAACTCCACGTACTCTCGAGACTCTCCACACTACAACTCGCGATGCACTCGACGACACACGAGCACAACTCCCGACTTTTCGGTTCAGTCGTTCCCGGAGCTCAACACGCTCTCTCGACGATGCACTAACCGCGATACACTAAGACTCCTTCGGTGCACTCGACGACCCACTCAGCACTTGCTGCCCGGCTGTCAACTCGATCGACTCCGCAAGGATTGACTCGCTAGATGAGACACCAACTCGATACTGACTCTCTCGCACTCTATGCGAGGCACACACACTCACTGACTGCGGACCAGCAGGGTTTATATAACTTTCGGCTTGTGTTCGAGAACGTTCTGGGCTAAACCGGTAAGAGTTCGTTCCAGAAGGTTCTCCAACCGTCCATGGTATATCGTCAATTTTGTCGCCAAATGGGCGATTTCTCGCCAAATGTGGCAACCCTGCCTTCCTTACCATTTTGTGGCAACCCTAAAACTGCTTTGCTGAGAAGCCATCTTACCGCGTCTGTACATTTCGTAACAATATACTTAGGAATGCAAAATAAACATATTAGTTTAAAATTTGAAGTCGAAATATTCGATATAATTTTAGTTTTTTTATATCTTCCATGTTCCCTAAAGGTGGGTCCCTCCAAGTCCAGGCTATTCCTGTTCAGATCAGTGTCATGCCACAAATGATGAACGGGGGTGGAAAAGGTGGCGGAGGTGGATGGCCTAGTGGAAACGGAGGCGGAGGTGGATGGCCTAGTGGAGGTAATGGAGGAGGCAAAGGAGGAGGTGGCTGGTCGATGGGAGGAGGAGGAGCCGCAAAAGGAGGTAGGAAAGGCCTATAAAGATTCTAAAGCTTATAAAATTATGCAATTTTTGTCGCCTAATTGACAACATTTTCCTACTTAGTGTTTATATGTATACAGGGTGTCCATAATTAAGTTTTTCTACTCAGAGCTCCTTGCATCTGTAACTAGTCATAAAAAAAGTGTAAAGTTTTGTATATGAAGTAATTATAAAAATCGAATTAGTTTCAAATATTGCCACTAGACGGCATATGACTTCGAAACATCTGCAGTGCAAAAGCAAATTTTTTTAGTTTGCTTTCGACGAAACCGCTGAAGAAAAACCTGCAAATATTTATATGGAGCTACTAGTAAGATTAAGTTTTCACACGCTTATGTTAGTTAAATGCTTTTGTCAAAACGCAGATCCGCGCCAGTGGCTTTACAGACATTCTGGACTTCAAGGGGCAGATCCAGGTATTTCTAAAAGACTTCAAAAAATGATAATGAAACTTGAAGCAACAGGATCCTTGACTATTCGCTCTCAAAGCGGAAGAAAATCCCTGCAATGGTAACAGAGGAGGTTGCGGTTCAAGTGAAGAAAGACAAAGCGTCAAATTTTAAGGCAACTCTAGTGCTGGCCGTATAGCACAGACGTTCAATAGGCTATTGCGTTTCTTTTTCTGTCTGGGAAAAAAAAAGGGCCTGCGGACAAACTTTCTCTTGCGCAGCGCTTTCTTCCATGTGATTTTGAGTCTCGACTCCAGTTCTAACTGCAGTTTTTTGCTCTCTGAGAGATCGTTTCTGAAAGACCTTCGAATATCTTCTGGATGGACGAAACGCATTTTATTTGGACGGTTCAATGAATACTCACAGCCGTGGAATTTGAGATTCACAAATTCTGAGCTCGATCCAGATGCTCTTTATATTCCCCACAAGTGACGGTATGGTGTAGATTTACTGCATCATTTATTCTGGGGCTATACATCTTCGAGAGGCTAACTTAGAAGGTTAGAAGGTTCAATGACATGCTCGATCCCTGGGCAATAATGTATAAGTTCTGCTTGAGAACGAAATTTGCCTGACTTTGTACTCAAGACAATGCTGTACATGCACAAACTTAATGCTATAAGCTACTCCATCAGAATGTACGTTAAGGTTTTGCAAGGTGTGTTAAGGATATTCTTAAAAGATATTTCCAGATCTCTGTCCTTACGATTTTTAATTTTGGGTAATTTGAAACATCTGATTAGCCGTTACAACATGATCCAGAAAGATGGGGTGACAGAGATCCCAAAACTATGGCACAGCCATGGGCATTGGAAAAGATTCTGCGGTGTAACCATGACTGGTTTAAATAGCAGATATTCAGTAATCTACACAATGGCACCGCATTCTCTCAATCGAGATGCTAGGCTGGGATGAAGATGAAGGATACAAATGTCCAACGGTCGTTCCCCTTCGTGACTCATAAGGTTATTATTCATAAGGCTCTCATTACGCTGTAAGCAAAAGCGGAATTCGTCAGAAAGGTAATGGCACGCTGTTGATGCATCCATGTGCGTAGTTGAATGCTCCATCATAGGGACTGATTTCCATGTTGTAGCTCCAAGGAAAGCCGAAGCAAAAGTTTGCGTGGTGTGCTTGGTGCTGATTACTGAGTTTTTGGTGCTGTGCAACCTACCCAATGTCTTTACCTAGAGTACGTTATGTAGCTGTACGATACTAACAGTGATACGAACAAAACATCTGTCGTTTCAGGCATTTGTGCAAGTTGTTCTTGTGGCTCTTCTGGACCTGTCGGTTTCAAATTCTCATAACAGTCATTGAATCTTGACCAACGCGATCAATATTTGTGTGGTATGATAATCCGAAGTTCCTTTAGGCCGCGGTTATCCCTCATGATTCTTCCGGATGTGCTGTATGAGTTTGTTCGAGAAACACGACCTCCAGAATAAAATAAAAAAATAAAAAAATAAAAATAAAAATAAAAATAAAAAAAAATGGTAAACGCTGTTTCTGAATGAAAACTCAGCGCTTCAGTCTGGCCTTTTTTTTACTACTTCAAGCTAAAGAAAGGCCGGACTTTATTTTGCTGTTCAAGACTGTTCAAGGGAAAGACTGTGTTCCCGACAAGTGATGGTATGGTGCGGATGTGTCCCCCACAGGTTATAGTGTGGATGTGTTTCCCACAGGTGATGGTATGTTGTGGGACCACAAGTGATGGTTCAAGACTGTTTTCTGCTGTCAAGGTAAAAGGGCCGCTTTTGCCTATAATGTGCAAAATGTTAATCATTTGCATATCCCAGCATGCTCTACATTTTACGCAAATTTCATGTTTGTGGTGTGCTTTCTTCCAGTGTAAAAACTTTAATGATCAGAACTGTATATTTCAAGGGAAAATACGAATCAGCAGCAATCAACTCAAAAATGAATCTTTCTCTTCACATAATGCTGTTTAACCACTTTGAGAATCCTCATCTAAGAGATGCTTCTGTATCCCTACAATAAGCGTACAATAGTCTGTGAGACAGTACAGTATCTTGTATCCCTACAATAAGCGTACAATACCTGGTACTTTTTAACCTGGCATCACGCAATATTTTAAAGCATTTTGTTTGTAGATTTTCAAATAACAAAATAATTTTAAAACGTAAATAACAAAATAATTTTAAACTACGATTTAATAAAATTATAATGATATTCTATTACATGATAGTTTCTTTATTTCAGTTTTAAATACAACTCCTTTAGTTTTTATTTTAACTGATATTAATTGCAGTAAACCCTTGTCGAGCGCAGATTTGAGGAACGCTATTTCGCACATACGCATCTTCTTAGTTGTTTCTTTTTAATTGGTTTAATGTTAGAATTTCATTCATACGCGATTTAGCTTCCATTCATCAACATTTAATACTCGTTGGCTTCTACTCTGGGCCGGTTCCGTTGACTACAAATGAAGCCAAAAAAATCATACAAATTGAGAACGCAATTTGTGGCGAAAATTTTCAGACATGGAAGAAGAAGACGTCAAAGAACTATTTGAGAAATGATGAATGCCGTATTGAATGCTCTCGTAGCTATACAATTACGAGTAAAATCAGTGTTAATATAGAAGTAATAATATACGAGTGAAACCATATAGTGAAACCAGTGATAATATAGAAGATAATAAAGCTTCATTAACTTACAAGAAATGAAACGAATTGGGAAAAAAAAAAAAAAATGGCACAGGAGCTGTCTGCTTCTGCTATGCAGAATGACTCAGATGAAGAAAGAAGAGGATTGCTTTGATGAGAGGCACAGAAAAATTCCGCGCTCTTAGATATTAAACGTTTTAAAGAGTTAAGTTAATCACTGCCCTAGGCGAAAATCCCCCATTATTTAAAAAAAATAATTGTATCATGTATTTATTAAGTAGTGACAAAAATCCTTTCAATGAATATTTGTTTTATTTTTTCCCTTTCAATTAATATTTGTTTTATTTTTTCCCTTTCAATTAATATTTGTTTTAATTACAGGTGACAGGTGACGGAGAACGGGGACGCCTGAAGTTTAACAGAGGTTAACAGGCATATGTCCCGCGTCCTCCCCTGGAGTTTATTTAATAGTTATAACAATAATTAGGTTTAAAAAATTCATACTTTCGTAATCTGAATTATATACCAAACATATTTTTTTCATGGGAAATTCGCGTTCCGCCAATTTGCTGTCAAAATTACATTAATACAATGTGCATATAGCAGATTTGCGGAATGCGAATTTGCCTTATGCGCAATGTATTAATAACGTAGCCCACACATTCGACAAGGATGTTGCTGTCTTGTGTTATTTGTCAAAATTCTAAGTTTCATCCTGATTTAATCGGTTTATTTTTATTTTCATATATTTAAAATTTTTCTTTTGATGTCTACATGCTTACATTTTTAACTACATATTTCTATATAATTTTTCAACTGTATCTGTACACATCTCAAACCTGTATTTCTGTTATAATTGTATATATGCTTTATATGTTTCTTTGTACACATTCTCTAATGTAAAACGTAAATCATTATTCATGTAAAAACTTATGTAAAAAATTCTCAACAAATGCCCGCTGACCACCAAGCCACCTCCTTGGCTACTTCCTTGGCTTGGTGTAGCAGATATAGTTCGACCGTCTGAAGCGCAACGCTGGTTGGCATTCTGCCAAAACTCATAGACTCGTCCAAAAGGGGCGGTATTACTTGCTGCGACGTGAAAGGTCTTTCTCCGGAAAGAGCTATGCTGGAGGGAAAGAAAGTCCCCATCCTTCCACCCTATTTTGAGAATAATTCGGTCCGAAATGGCGCATGCGTGTTTGCGCTCATGGTCGCGGTCGAGCTATAGTAGATGGTATCCATCGATGGATCATCGATTGCCGAAAGTTGTAATGATGATGCGGCTGCTCCACTGATGGCCTTATGTCCTCTGTGTTGTGTTGAGACTTACCTCACTTGTCTGATAGTAACACCAGAACAACCCCCCGAAATTCATCTTGGCAAGAAGAGGGAGATTGCGCCTGTCGTTGGCAAGAGCCTTGGATTCCGGCAGGTGGCGGTACAACTTTGCTCAGTTCCGCCCCAATTTTGTTGAAAAGCACTCCCGGGGGACGGGGCCGAATTTCGTCCACCTCTCTTCCCCTACCACAACCTCTCGATAGAATTTCTGCTCGTCATATACTTAAAAGGCCCCTATGAGGCAAAGACACTATACATTCCCAAACATCCATGCCTTCTCCGGGATTTGAACCCGAGCCCTTCGGTATCGTAGGAGGGTCCCTAACTAATACTATACCGTCTGGGCGACTACACATAGTCATAACTATTATGAATGTAAGGCGTATTTTTACGTGCGTACAAGTTCGTAATAGATTGGATGCACAAGTCCGATAAACAAGAAATATAACAAAACGCCCCCAAGCCCGTCAATACCGCAGTAGGCTTCCCTAACCACTATACCATTTGGGCGGCTCTCGGCGAGGGTTTACTATACATATAAAATGAATAAGTTATACTTTAATTAAGAAATAAACTAATATCTAAACAATCTGTTTTGCGCAAAATTATATAAATGTACCAAGTAGCAATCTTTAAAAGAAATTGTTTCATTCAATTTTTGGAAAGCAATTTGACAATGGAACTTGCCATGGACATTTCTTCTTACGATGTAAAAAAGGAGGTTTTTCAGTTATGATTACATTTTAAAGTCTGAATTTAAAGTATTTGAAAGTATAAAATTAAATTACTGTTTTGTCATTTGATTAAAGCTGTAATAATAATTTGTAACATTAATAATTGGTACTATTCGGTTTCGAGGGCCGTAAAAAGTCGACAAACTATTGTTGATGCCAATGCTGCCAAAAATAATTGCGGCACCCTAATAATTGCGGCAAGAAAGGAAGTATAATAGTAAATAACTATCTAAGGTTGATGTTTTAATTTTTTATTATTATAATTTATATGAAAAAGACTAAACATGACTGAATGGTAGCATAATAGTAAATAACTATTTCAGATCATTATTATAATTTATGTAAAAATTGCTAAACATAACTGAATGGACGCCTGCTTCGCTATTTCGCTACCGACTTATCGCTAAAGCATAATTTCATCTCGTTGGTTGTTCAAACGTAATTTTGTATAATGAATGATGCCTTTTATTTGAAAAATTCTCGATAAAGTGCAGAATCGCTCACTTATTTGTTTGCCGTTTTTTACAAGGGTAAAACTAATTGGATTTTTGTGAATTTTTTTTACTTGTTAAGTGAAAATAGGTCGATATGCACATAGATAAAGTCAAGGGTGTGCGCAGTGCCATTTTTGTGCAATTCTAGGATTTTTTTTTTAAGTGAAAATAGGTCGATGTGCACGTGGATACCGAGTATGTGCAATTCTTAAAAACGCGTCAAACAATGGGTGATTCTGCACTTTACCCAAAATTCTATTCCTGACTTTTCGTCATGGGCAATTCTCAAATTGTTAAATCCATAGGATATCAAAAAAGGATTTAAAAATTAAACTAGTATTTCAATGGCCTCTTAAGAAATATAGAACTATATAAACTTACGCAATCTGAAATCAGCGCGTACGCTAGATGTGGCGCGCTGTTAAATGGGCGCTTTTGCTAGATTTGGCGATTTTGCGCATACATTTTCGCTGCAATTTTTTTATGGTCCTCAAAACGGAAAAGTACCTAATAATTTGTTTATGTAGTCTTTATTTTAATAAATTTATTCTAATAATTATGAATTATTAACTACAACTACGTCATTCTTAATTATTCCTAATTCATAATAACTGCATTATTTTAAATTATTCGGAATTATTGAATTATGAATTATTTTCAGTCAGTGTAAATAAAATCCATAATCCTTTCATACCCGTAAAGAATAAAATGGCTATAATTATTTCATTCCTGTGTTTACTTTAGACAGTCAACAGATGGCTCTAGCTCTGCTTGCAGTACCTATCAAAATCCAACAACCAGCTCCCAGTAGTGGCGGCAAAGGCGGCAAAGGAGGGGGAGGGGGAAATGGTGGGGGCGGCTGGTGGTAATCATTAAGAGGTAAGTGAAAGAAAAAACCAAATTTCTTGATTGAAATTTTGCAAAAGAATTTTAAGTTTCCATATCTAAATAGAAATTATGAGATTTAAAAATATAGCGTCAGATAACGTAGTTGGATATTTACATATAAAGAACATTTATTTAGCTTGGAGTCTTTTCCTTTTAAATTCAAACTATCAAATAGAAAGTGCCCTTAGAATATTTTATCCTTTAAAGGAAAATTGTAAAAGATGTAGTTCATATAACTTTTACGATTAAATTTGAAAAATTTCAAATTTATTGTCAATTTGTCAATTTTTTTCCTCAATGCTGTTATTGAAATAAGAACTTTTTATATTATACATTGTGGTGTTGCGCGGCCCCAACCTACACGCAACAATAATAGTGACTGCTATGAACTGGAAAGTACACAAAACTCTTAAGAAGGGTTTAACTCCCTTTTTATTCTACTTTAGAAGTTACAGATGCGTGCACTTGACGCTCACAAACTACGCGACCGACGGCCGACCCGGCGGTAAAAATAAAATAAGAAACTAAAAATGAATAATAACAAGTTACTACCTACGAGGCTCTCTAAACGTAACTAACCTAATCGCGTTCTAAGATACCGCTGATATTTCAGCAAACTTCTGAATATTAAGTTGAAAGATTCAACTATCTGCCGAGGCAAGCACACAGGCCGAAACGCGCGGTTCTTCAATTTCTACCTAGCCACCTTCACGCTCGTGAAGCAAGAAAGCACACTTACGAACTCGTTTCCCTTCTATTTAACTCAAATTACATCTGCTTAAAATCTGAATACTTTGCGCGTTCTACTAAAATTTACATACTCTGGCATTGGCAATTCCAGGGGAAAGTAAGGCTTGATAGGAAATATAGTTTAAACTAAAAATAAATGTTAGTTAAAATAAATATAAACCCTACAACATGAATCACATGACTATTAGTTCACCATGAGCATTTCTCACTCCTCAATGAGATACATTCCGATGACCTCATTGATCACGTGACTTATGTATACCTTTTGTAAACAAACAATGCAGATGACCTCAGAGATCACGTGGCTTATGTACAGCTAATAGAAACAAGCAAAGTCATTCTTCCTCTTCTTCTCTTGCGGAATGTATCTCATTCTACATTTAGAAAGTAGTAAACCATTTTTGTATGCCTTCATTTACAATAGAAGTGAATATAACCGTGCTCACTTGCAATATAAACTATCATATTGGCTCGACTATAAAGTGGCCTCACATATGAAATAATCCTATATTCTTAAAAGCATTTCAGTAGTAGAAAACGAGCGTGCACATAACGCAGCATCATAGTGATAAGCTTCATCTGTTGAAAGTGTTCATCAAAAATAGTAATTTTTATAATCTAAATGCTGCTGCGTGCGTACGGGTTTGTAGTAAATTGAATGCACAAGTCCGATGAAAAGTGAATAAGATTTATTATTATCCCAACACATAAAACAAAATTCTTGAGTTTCCTCAGATATTCGTACAATATTGCAATATCTCACAGCAGTTATATTTTAAACTACTCAAAAATTCAACAGAACTTAATTCAAAACAAAGAAATCTAATCCGATTTCACCTCGTATTCGCTACAGTATAGTTATACTAGTTTACACAGTATAGTTACAGTATGTAACTACAGTATAGTTACAGTATTCGCTACAGTATAGTTATATAACAGCAGTTTTCTAAAAACTCTGAGCTGAGTGGTTTTGATCCCGCTTTTATAAACTTTTTAAAAAGCAAGAGAAACTTCTCGATTTTTCTGGATATTAAAAAAGTACAATTACGAGATATCTGTTTATCAAATGCGCGTGCTTCTATATTTTTAATTTTTTCGGGATAGCTTTCTCTCCAAATAAGTTGCGTGCAGTATTGCAAGGGGAAATAAAACAATTTAATAACAATTCTATTAAAAATAGCAAACTAAATAAATCAATACAAAAACTGCAACAATATCTTTAGATAAAATACTAAACTGGATAATTTAAATGTTATATTTTTAAATAAAATAATAAATATGCTTAATTTTTAGCATTAAGAGACAAACAGTAAATTACGCTAACATTGTTTTGATATTTAGGCTATACATATAAGAGAAAAATAATTTTCAGAAAAATCTTTTTATTCGAGGGGTGGATTTTCTTACACGTGGACCGATACGATATTACTTCGTAATTCTGCGATATAAAAAGTAAATGAAATTTACTAATGCTATGAAAACTAAAGATAACAAATTGAAGATATATATATATAATATGAAAAATCGAAGATGCGGATTTTAGGGTGCTCTTGCAGTCAGCAGTTCTTCCCAAGCTCCTGCAGGCAAGAAGAGCTTTTGAATTTTCTGTTACTTGAGCTTCTTCAGTGAAGAACTACAAATTCATTAAAAAACAGACTAGTTAGTTCTGTGAAGACTCTAGAAATTTAAATGTAGGAAAGTCATTCGCTTTTTTAAAAATTTTGTTTATACAAAATTATGAAGCCCCTCGATCAAATTCCGTTTAATATGAAGATTTTAAATCCATTCCTAGTAAAGGATAATATAAGGTGGGCCAAAAAAGACCTACTAATGTTAAACACGGAAAACTCTTGTAATAATCATTTATTTTGATTAACTTTTTTATACATTAAATATATTTTATGGAAATTATGTATGAAATATGACATCAGACCACCATTTTTCTCGATACCACCCTTTTTCTTGATACAGAGATTGGCTCTTTTTAACACGTTTTCCATTACACCACGTAATGTTTCTGGTTGAAGGCTCAGTATTTCTTCTCGAATATTCTGCTTCAGCTGTCTAATAATCTCTGGTTTATTAACACACACGTTGTCTTTTAAATATCCCCATAAAAAAAGGATTCTGCTTCGCCATTGGCCGCAAAAAGTTTTCAAACATTGTTCTGTAAGAAGCTCCGGAAATTGTTTCCGGCGTTCCATCCTTATTCTAGAAGAAATATGGGCCGATAACTCTACTGGCCATAACACCGCAATTTGTTTTATTATTGATTGACTAGCAGCTTCGCTGCCAGCCTTAGTCTGGCTTTTAAATGTACCGGAAAAATGGCTGAAGGGAACACCAAACGTTAAATTTAAAAACTGAGGAAGAATTTTACTCTGCAGAACAACTTCATAAAAAAAAGGTATTACGTATAACAAAATTACAATGAAATAAGCAATATCCCTTAATACAAATATTAATCATCCTAATAAATAAATTAACTTACCTTTGAAAAACCTTAAGAACTCAAAAAATGGTATAAAGGAAGTTAAGAACTTTGCTTCATAAAAAATCACTCAAAACTTTTCAATATCTTAAAAACAGTGAAATGAGCAATAAATAACATAAAAGAATACAAAAAACAAAAAATTCTGAAAAGCAAAGTATAATTTTATCTTATATTTTCAAGAGAAAAAAATTACAATGAAATAAGCTATATCCCTTAATACAAATGCTAATTATCCTAATAAAAAAATTAACCAACTTTCCGTTGAAGGAAAAAAATTATGCAAAACTTTTCAAAATCTTACAAATAGTGAAATAAGCAAAACATAACAGGAAAGAAACTCAAAAAACAAAAAATTCCGCGCAGAATTTTACTCTGCAGAACAACTTTATATATAAAAAAAAAAACAATAAAAATGTATTATATATATAAAAAATGACAATGAAATATGCCAATCTCTTAAAAACAGTGACATAAGAAATAGGATGAAAATCTGATGCCAAACTCATATTTCTAAAAGAATGAAACTATTCAAAATGATGCGATTTCATCAAAAATCTATCAACAACGATAAGAAAGGAAAATTGTTGCCAAAATCACATTTTTAAAGATGTGAAATGTGAGAAGTGTACTCGGAAGCTTCATTTAAAAAATGTTTTAAAACTACAAAATATTATCATTTTCCAAAATTCTTTTTTTAAAAGCAGTCGCAAGGATGAAAGTTTAACGTGTCCAAAAATCAAAGAAATATAAACTGTACCTTTTTAAAAATAAACTTTTTTAGAAAAAATTCCGTTGAAAAGGTGTTAAGCTCACTTTGTTAAATAAATTCGCATTTAATCGATTTATTGAAACACGAAATTTATTTTAAGTTCGTAAAATAGCTAAGTACCTACGTTTCATGACGATGTGAAAATGGAGTGTGTAGAGTAAAATCTCGCTTTCCTATAGCCCATTATGTCTCAAAATGACGCGATTTCGTCACAAAACATAAAATAAAAAAAATTCGAATTCGAATTTCGAAAAAATCGCTTCGAAGTGCACTGGCTGTTGTCTAAATGCACCTCTGTACCAAATTTCGTAGCCGTGGGTCTATTGCTTACGCGCAGCGCGAACGAAAGACACACACAGACTCTTTATTTTATTATATGTAGAGATTTTTCATATTTTGTGAAACTTTATCGAATTTTTGATTAACAATCTCCAGGATTTCAAAGCGAGCAATGGCAACGTTGTACAGAAAAAACATTTTTATATCCAGCGCGCGAAACTCTGTATTGGAAATTCTAAAGGATATGCTCATTTTTAAACTATTTTGCGATATTGCTTTTGAGCTGAATTTTATGCTTTAAGTGCGAAGAACGTGATATTTAATAAAGGTAACTGACAAAATGTTAAAAAAAAAGCCCCTTTGGACGTAATTTTAAATCTGAAACCTTTCAGATTTTTTTTAATGTTTTATTATTATTATTATTATTATTTACTTTTTATCCTCCTCAAGAAAAAACGACCTATGTCTCTGATCGCCGTCAAAATCGAAGAAGTTCTAGTCAAAATCTACGGGGCACATTAAGTTTATTTTTTTGCTTAGTTTTAAATCACCACTTAATTTTCAAATATTCATTAGCGATCCTATGACAGCTTTGCTTTAATAACAATAGTATTGGTAAAAAGAAATATTTATGAGTTCAATAAATCATAAATCCTTTGAGGGTATCAAACGCATACTCTAGATTTCTACTCTCTGATA